AAAAAAATCAGTGTAGTAAAAAAAATACCCTAAAGGTTTAACTACAAAACTCTTAGAACTGACACTTTTAGCTAAGTGGAGGGATGTAAAATTAACACACAAAAATGAGAAGCCTTGCTGGGTGGCAAACACCTTTAAGCCCAGCACTTGGGAGGCAGAAGCAGGAAGACCTCTCTGAGTTCGAGGCCAGCCTGGCCTACAAGAGCTAGTTCCAGGACAGCTAGGACTGTCACACAGAGAAACCCTGTCTCGAAAAAAAGAAAAAGAAAAAGAGAAAATGAGAAGTCTTCCTATATGCTAATGACAAACATACTGAGGAAGAAATCAGGGAAACAACCCCATTCAAAATTCCACAAAAAACACTCAGGAGGAAGAGGTAGGTGAATCTCTGTGAGTTCGAGGCCAGCCTGGTCTACAAGAGCTAGTTCCAGGACAACCTCTAAAGCTATAGAGAAACCCTGTCTCGAAAAACCAAAAAAAAAAAATAATAATAATAAGATAGCTCAGAATAAAACTATCTAAGGTAGTGAATGATCTCTATAATGGAAACTTTAAAACAATCAAGAGAGAAATTAAGAGGACACTAGAATGTCACGATATCGCCCATGCTCTTGGGTTGGAGAATCAATATTGTGAAAATGACCATCTTACCAAAATCAATACACAGATTCAGTGCAATCTTCTTTAGAACATCAGCAGCATCATTGTTCGCAGATATATGGAAAGCCTTAAAAACCTCTTTAGCCAAAGCAACCCTGAACAAAAAGAGCAAATGCTGGCGGTATCCCAAACCATGAAGTCACAGAAACTGCAAACAGCATAGTACGGGCACACACGTGAACATGCAGATCAAAAGGACAGAGGAGAAAACTCATACACAAACCTATCTGCTACAGCAACCTGAGTTTTGACTTTTTTGCTGTTGTTCTTGGTTTTTTGTTTGTTTGTTTTTTCAAGAGAGGGTTTCTCTGTAGCATTTAGAGTCTGTCCTGGAACTAGCTCTTGTAGACCAGGCTGGCCTCGAACTCACAGAGATCCACCTGCCTCTGCCTCCCGGTGTGTTTTTGTTTTTTTAACAAAGATGTCAAAAATACTCATTGGAGAAAGGAAAACTAGCACACGTAGAAGGAAAAAATTCTATCTTTATTGCCCACTTTACACAAAATTTCACTCCAAATGGAACAAAGACCTTAATGAAATACCCAAAACTTAGAAAATGTTAGCGGAATCAGTCAGAGGAAACACCTCACAAGACAGACGCGAGTGAGGAGTCTTGGAATGGGACTCCAGTTACTCAGGAAATGAGGCCAAATATGGACAAATGGGACCTTAAAAGGTGTTTGTACAGTTAGTTGAGTGCAGAGGAAGCATCTAGAATAGGAGAAAATCTTTGCCAGCTTTATACCTGATAAAAGTGTTATAAAGAACTGAAAAAGAGAAAATTAAAAGCCATGGAGACATTGGGATAGCTCAGCAGGTAGAGGCACTTGCCACCAAGTCTAAGGACCCGAGTCCAATCCCTGAGTATCACATGGACAAAGGAAAGACCCAGCTCCCACAGCTGTCATCTAACCTCCTCACAAGCACTGTGGAACAAGAGAGAGCGCGCGCGTGCGCGTGTGCACACACACCAAGTTAATAAATGAACAAACTGAAGAGCTGAACCGAGCTCTCGGAAGAGAAAGCACCCTCAATTCCACTGTCACCAGCCTTCCCGCCATATTGAGGTAGCTTCAATCAACCAAGGCGCAAACATATTTGAGAAAAATGACAGCACTGAAGTCTTTTCTCATTCTTAGTCTACAAACAATAAAGCTGGACAGCTGTTTACATGAATTTGCATTGCATTAGGAGTTATAATGCACAGATGTCTTTGGTACCCCAAAGGAGATCTCGGAATTGATCCCTTACAGTAACCAAGGGAGACAGTTTATTCCTCTGGATCAGAATATTTTCAGACTGGTACAAGTTTCAGACTCTTAGAGTAACACTGACTTAAGGATTTTATAAATTATAGGTGACTTTTTCTTTTGTTTGTCTGTTTGTTTGTCTGTCTGTTTGTTTTGAGACAGGGTTTCTCTATAGCTGTGGAGACTGTCCTGGAACTAGCTCTTGTAGACTAGGCTGACTTTGAACTCACAGAGATCCACCAGCCTCTGCCTCCCGAATGCTAGGATTAAAGGCACACTCCACCACCGCCTGGCTTATAGGTGACTTTTTAAAATGCCCTTCCTGCTAGATGTAGTGGCACACACTTTAATCCCAGGTCTCAACAGGCAGAGGCAGATAGATCTGAATCTCTCTGAGTTCTCTCTGAGCCTGGTCTACACAGTGAATTCAACTATTTTGCTTCCCCCCCAGCCCCTCCCCCACAAAAGAAAGAACATTTCCTGTCCCTACCCTCTTCAGATCCCATTAGCATCTATTCTAAATGTAATCTCTGCAGTTCAAATGAAGAAAAGACATTTACTTTTTTAATCTTGTTTTTCTCTTTTTTTTTAGATAAGTGTAGCCCAGTTTGGTTTGAACTCCCTATGGACCTGAGGACAATCTTAAATGTCTGATCCTCCTGTTTATTCACCCTGGGTGCTGGGATTGTAGGAGAGCATCTGGTTTATGTGTTGCTGGGAACAAAATCCAGGACTTGGGCTGTGGGCATGACTCACCAGGGAAAGACACTTGCCACCAAATCTAATTACCTGAGTTCAATCTCTGGGACCTACATAGTGGAAGGAGAAAATCAGTGCTAACAAACTCTCTTCTGAATTCCACATGTATGCATGTGTATGAATACACACACACACACACACACATATGTACACTCATACCTATAATAAATTTTTTAAAAGTAACAAACCAGGGTTTATGCGTGCTAGGCAGGCACTCTCCCAACTGAGCTACGTCCCAACCCAAGGGGGAAAAAACCATTTTTGGGGGCAGCAATTGTGTGCAAGATTCTGGGAGGTGTTATCATGACTAAGGGATCATCTGTGCTCCCATTTGGTTCACAGCACGTCCTCAAGAAGCCCTTAAGTTTCTTACATCAAAATATTTTAGAATTCAAGTGCCATCTTTGTTTCTAAGAATTTCACAAGTTTATATATATACACTCTTACTAGCAAGCTCCAAGCTACTGAACTGAAGTATCCCATTTCATAGCCTTCACGTGCTCCAGCAGCACACCGGGAAATCGCTCTATAAAAAGCTGAATGTGGCAGACATTTACAGAGCCAAGAGCATCCCGAATCCTCTGTTCGAGGACTAAGAGCCATGATGGGGCTCTGTCCCAAGTCTTGCTGAGTGATAAACATTCTCTCCTTTCTCATCATGCCTCCTCACCCTTGATCACTCAAGGCTTAAAGCAGAAACACCTTCTGTCAGGCATGGCAATGTACATCATGTAATCCCAGTACTAGGGAGGCGGAGGCAGAGGCATGAGGTTGGAGCATTTGAGGCCAGCCAGGAATATATATGGAGACCTTGTTTCAGAAAACCAAGGACTGGATATGTAGCTCAAAACATTCTATCCCTAACAACCCCTAAAATAACAACTCTGGCTTCTGCTCCTCTGACTTTTCCTGAATAAGATCTGTCACACTAAATTGCTCCCAAGAAGGGAGGGGTGCAAAATTTCTTAAGTAATTGATAAACCCTCAGTGGGGCCTCTTTCTACTAGAGTCCCCGAAAGGAAGGAATAAGGGTTGGAAAAACTTCCATTTGCAAAGCCCATGTTGGGCACTGTGCAGGTACAAAGATGAACCAAACAGGTTCCAGGCCCTCAAGAATTTACAATAGTCAAATCACACTACCCCTCAGCCTTGGCAAAACACAAAGGAGAATGGGCCAAGTGTTGCAATGTTGGCAGCTGGAGAAGGCACTGTGGGAGAACAGATGGAGGACACATTAATCTCTCATGCTGAATATTCACAGGCTGTAGCTCTGGGGGCCACCCATTAGAAGATGGGGGACAGATAACACAGTATTCCTCGCCTGTACAGTGGTGCTTGGTGGTTTGCCTAGGAAACAGTGTTGCGGTGGGTGGATTTGAACCCACACAGATCCTGTAGAGCTGGTGTTCTCAGCTCTCAGGTAAAGAGCAAAGGTTACCATGAGGGAAAACTAGCAATTTGCAGAGTACGTCTAGAGAACAGTGCAGACCTAAAGGTGAAGATTTGTAATGCTTGTGTCTGCACAATGTTCTTTCATCAAAAAGCCTTGAAGTCTGTATCAGTTCCTCCTGGCTTTTGTGTATTTCACCTGATCTCCCTGAATCTCTATTTGAGGTGCAATTATCCTCATTTTACTGACAAGGGAACACAAATACAGATTATTAAGAAATCCACGCAAAGTTGTAAAACTGGCTGGTGATGAGGTTGCAATCTGAATTTAGGGTCTACTCCTTTTTTGTTTTTCGAGACAGTGTTTCTCTGGGTAACAACCCTAGCTGTCCTAGAACTAACTTTGTAGACCAGGCTGACCTCGAACTCACAGAGATCCACCTGTCTCTGACTCCCGAATGCTGGGATTAAAGGTGTGAGCCACCACCGCCCATCTTGGTCTTCTCTTAGCCTCTGTTCTGGTCAGTGGTCCCCACGTGTGCTTGGTGCCTCGAAGCTTCCAGCTACTTGGAAGTTGACACATCCTGTCTCCTCCCACTCAATTCCCCGAACTTTCCTCCACTTTAACCCCTAGTTTTTTCAGCTAGAGTGGTCCACCTCACTACCATGGGGCTGCCAGGAACCTCTGGGATCCCCAAATCGTTTCCATTCCAAAAATGCCTTGAGGCCCCTCCTATAAAGAGGCTTGGAGCCCTGGACGACGTGGGCATATCCTATGGGGACAATGCCTAAGGTTTTGGGCGGGGCGAAGCTTGACTAGGAGCAGGATTTAATTTAGGGGCGTGGCCAGACAATGGGGCGGGTCCAGAGGGCTGGGTGCTGCAGGTGCCTCCTCCTCCGCCTCTCCAGATCCCTGGCCGCGCCAGGCACTGTGCGGGCAGCCGACGGAAAGCCATTGTGCCTGGCTGGGGTCAGGCTGAGACAGCCCCTTGTACGCTCTGGTCCATTGTCTTCCTGGCTGGTGTTGGCGACAGGGTCCCACACGTGCCACCGCGGCGGCTGCAGTGCCGGGCCGGGTGGGCGCCCGCATCCCAGGCGCGCTTGGGAGATGAAGCTCCAGAAGCCGTGGTGGGCGGGTGGCGGCCTCCTGAACCTTACGGTGCTGCTGAGCTTAGCTAGGCTCTGTGTGGACCTGGATCTCTGCCTGCCGCCGCCGACCACCGCACTTTGCGAGGAGCTGCTCCTACTCTGTCCCACCAGCCCCGCCTGGGCTTCTAGCCACTTCTCGGCCTCGGAAGGCTGGGGACACTCCCCCGAGCTGCTTGCCAAGGGCCGGCTGCTGCGCGAAGTGCGCGCGCTCGGCGTCCCCTTCGTTCCCCGCACCCGCGTAGACGCGTGGCTAGTGCACAGCGTGGCGACCGGGGACGCAGACGGGGCCCACGGGCTGCTCGGCACGGCCGCCTCGTCTGCTGTGGGAGACGGCGGCCAGGCGGCACCCGCGGGCGGCGGGGACCCCCGAGAGACTCACAGCAGCCCTCTGGCTGCCGAGGAGGAGGAGGAAAAGGCGGCGGAACCGACGGCGCAGGTACAGGACACAGGCGGACGCGAGAGCCAGGTAACCTGAAGGGACGCGAGCGAATGGCACATCTACCCAGGGCTGGAAGTACTGGCCCGGAGCTCTAAGGTCACTAGGCAGGGCCACACCCGTGCTCTCCTTACCCTAGGTAGTTAGTTGCAGGTTGCGGGACTAATCTGCCCTGCCTCTTTTTGAATGAAGATGGTGAGTGCTGGGATTTGATTTGGGGAAAAGTGGATGAAATCGATTCGCGTGCGGAAAACACCCTTCTTGTGTTTGATGGCTGTGGAGGGTAGTTTGGTAATGAGGAAGCGAGAGGGGACGGTGTTGTCTGGTTCACGGTCTTCAATCAGTACCCCGAGTGCATTAAGACGCCTTGATGGGGAACGTGTGCGGCACTAGAGACTCTGGGGGAGGCCTCATCCTCTGAGAAGATGCGCTTCTCTCTGAAGAACCACGCACCCAAGCCAAGGCAGGGCCCTCGCCCTGCATTTAACCTTACTGTAGCCCGTTTGTGGTTGTGCAACTGGAATAAGGAGCCACGGTGTTCATTGCAGTTGGTCCCTCTGATCTAACCATCCACCCCCTCGCTTAAGAATCCTCGCTTAAGAAAACCCTTATTAATAAACACAAAACACGTAGTCTTTTCTGGGACACGCAAGTTCCCTTTGGTTGCCGGTGCTCCCGTTTAGCTGAACAAAACAGTTCCCTAAGATCTATGGACTGAAACTGGAAAGACCTCTACATGTAGAGAGCTCCTGCCTCCCCGGGAGCTTGGCGTTATCGGTGTGGATCCACAAGTGTTCGTAGGACGTTGTTTCTGTGAAGAGCAGCCTTATGCAAAATGGGAATTGGACTAAGCTGATTTGTTTGCGGCTCTTCAGAATCACCCAGTTTGTGTAGGCAGTTGCCTGACGGGCTCCTCCACCCTTTCTTGGAGGGGTCATTGCGTGAGGTGCTGGTGATTCACTGTTAGGTTGATCTGATGATCCCTTCCTCCTCCTCCCAGGGCTGGGAACTAATGGGGTGGGGGTTGGTGCGAGTCTTGGTAGGCTTCTGTTGGTTTAGAACAAACAGGAAGCCACTCCCGATTCCACACGGCAGATCTGAACTCCAAGAGGGAACGGGAGGGGTGTCATCCCTGAGGCGAGACACCCGCTGCCCCCATACCTTTCCTGGTCCTGCAATGTGTCGGTTTGAAATCCTAGGTAGATTCTATACAAAGTGGTACCACACCTTTCTCGAGACTGAATGCCCTCCAGCTTACTAAGTGTAGAAGACTTTGAAGGGAAAGTTTTTCTCTCCGAAGACTTCCTTCCTACCATTACCTGGCTGATACCTATACAGATAGTAAGCTGATTTTGGAGGCAGCTCTGATGGCCTGGGAACCGAAGCACAGGTTAAGAAACTCGTGTAAGGTAACAAAACTGGCTGGTGATGGAGGTGGCATCTGAATCGAGGTGGGCTCCTCTAATCTTTCTCTTACTCTCTGTGGCAGCCAATGGTCCTCCTTGTAAGGACCCGGTGTCCCTCCTTCTTAGATGTAATAAAGCCATGATAGTCCCAATTCCTACAGCCTCCCACCCCAACACTTTTCTTGGCAGTGCTGGCCTGTGCACCTGCTAGACAATGGTAGCCGTGGGGGTTTGGTTCTGTTCAATTAGGCAGCGGTCAGCTGCTGGAGACTTTAGATGTAGGAGCCAGTGAACTGGTGTGGTAATGCTATTTACATGTCCAATTTGTGCTTAAGGGGAAAAAAATCCATATATTAGTAAATGCCAGAAGTGGACTGAGAACCAAGTCTTCCGTCTCCCAGAATGGCATATAAATTAAGTTCTGTGGGCTCTACTCAGGTTCCCTCTATAAGAGTGTATCTGGGATGGGACGAGTCAGGCCCTGACTCAGTCTGTCTCCGGGCTCCAAGTCAACTACTTTCTGGTGCTAGATTGGTTTGTTTGTTGTCTGTTTGATTGGGTTTTGATGGGGGGGGGGGGAGCCCACAACTCGCTTTATTGAGTATTGTTAACCAGGCTGGCCTTGAACTCTTAGTCCTCCTGTCCCAGCCTCTCAAGTGCTGGGATTTCAGGTGTGCACCACCGTACCTGGCTTGGATTGTTTTCGAAAAAGCAGGTTCTGGGCTGGGAGGGAGCGCAGTGATTGGCTAAGAGCACTGGCTGAGCTTGCAGAGGACCCAGGTTTGGGTCCTAGCACACATGGTGGCTATCGACCATCCACTTCTCTGACGCCCTCTTCTGACCTCTGCAGATCCTGCGTGTTCAGGTACACAGAGACACATCCAGGCAACATACTCAAACACACTAGGTAAAAATAAATAATTCTCTTAAGAAATCATAGCTGGACGGTGATGGCACACGCCTTTAATCCCAGCACTCAGGAGACAGAGGCAGGCGGATCTCTGTGAGTTTCAGGCCAGCCTGGTCTACAGAGCAAGTTCCAGGACAGGAACCAAAGCTACGGAGAAACCATGTCTTGAAGAAACAAACAAACAAAAACAAAAACAAAAAACAAAAAAACATAGTAAAATAAAAAGCAGGTTATACAGTCATAATGAAGACCATGACTCTGGGGAATATGGGCTAGAGAAATAATGCCAGGTTTTGCAATTGCCTAGGCCTTCGTACTTCCTCCCATGGGCAATGTGAATCACTCCAAGCCCCAGTGGGAGAGTGAGGTTTTTCCGGAGGGGTGTCGAGCCAACTAACGGGGAATGTTGGTGTGAAGTGCCAGCCCTGAGCCCGCAGCGCACTGTGCTTTTCCCCTTCATTCGAAATCCGCCCCTGTCCCCAGTCCACCTTTTCCTTTGGATTTGTCCGTCTCTGGAGCCAGCTTGCTTATTCGGGAGTGAATGTGGAGGACGGTAGGAATGCAGGTGGAGATTTAGATAATTGATAGATACTTCCAGGGACTTCCATTTGAGCTGGAGAAGGTTCTGGTTTTAGAGTATAATTTTTCACAACTTCTAGGCATGTGCAAAAAAAAAAAAGCCATTTTAGAATAAGGGGGTTTTTCAAAGTATCAAAAGACAAGTACTGCTTTGATTTCACTTCTTGGGCTAATAATTATGAAAACAGACTCTGGAATTCCCCGGAACCGACAGCTTCCTTTTATAACCATGGTCATTCACTTACAACTGATGAAGCTCGTGCTTGGCTCGGGGAAGTGTGGGGTTCTCAAGAAATAAAGCTATGGGAGATGGAGAGATGGCTCAGGGCTTAAGAGCACCTGCTGCCCTTCCAGAAGACCCTGGTTCTGTTCCCAGCACTGAAATGGCGGCTAACAAGTGTCGGTCACTCCAGCTGCAGGTGACGCCCTCTTCTTGCCTCTGGCACATGTGCCAGAGGGCATCACATGAATTTGCTTCCCTTGCAGAGCACCCAAGTTTGGGTCCTAGTACTCACATGGTGGCTATCAACCACCGGTAACTCCAGTTCCACAGGATCCGGCATCCTCTTCTGACCTCTGTGGGCCCAGGGTTTGCAAGACACCCATACACATAAAAGAAAATAATAAAAAAAAGAACAACAGTTTTAAGAAAGTGACTATGTCAGCGTTTCAAAGAGCCGTTGGAAACTGAGCTGGTTTGTGCTCATCGTGTGTCCTCCTTTCACAGCAACCCCTCTGCTGTCTGAGCAATCTTACCAACACCCAAATTACATTAGGATGGTTCCCTTAGCTCATAGAATCACATATATAGCCCAAGGATGAAGGGGAGAGAAAAACCATTTCTGATTGTTGAAGTCAATTTTATACCTGTTTCAAAAATCAATAGCATCTCCTAACGCTTAGGCCAATTGGTCAGAGGTGGGAAACAAACTTCCCGACACCCTGGTGCAGGCAAACTCTTCATTCATGGCGGTGTGGCTTCATGGGAGGGTTTTCGTTTTGCTGTCAGTGGCTGTTGTAAAGGTCTACTTTGGCTCCTTGAATGGGAAAGAACGGCACAGGCTATTGTGTTAGAGTTCTAGGACACAGTACTCAGGCTGCGTGCTCAAAGAGAAATTTCCTGGAGGCGAGAGGTCCCAGGCGAGGTATTGGCAGATTGGTTCCTTCTAAGGACTGATGGGAGGAGCTGCATTTTGGTGGTCTGCTGGAGTAGTTGGCGTTCTGTGGCTCTGCTGCCAGTCTCTGCTTCTCCCTTCACACGCCTCCTTCCTGCACACTCCCTTTTACATAGGAAGGCCCGTCCGGCTCTCTTTTTACCAACTCATATTTACAATTACTGGATTTCCTAATATGGCCACATTCTTAGGCGTTAGGACTTAATAGGGATTTTAGAGGGCACAGTTTAACTGGAACAAGTCCCATCTCCTTTCTGTCCACTATACAGCTTGCTTATATTCCAGCTGTTAGAAACTGAGTCAGTTCTGGGAGGTTGTAGCACACACCTTTAATTCCAGCACTCAAGAGTCAGAGGCAGGTGATCTCTGTGAGTTAGAAGCCAACATGGTCTACAGAGTGAGTTCCGTAACAACTAGGGCTACACAGAGAACAGGGCTGTCTCAAAAAACAAAAAGGAAAAAAAAAGAAAGGAAGGAAGGAAGGAAGAGAAGAGAAGAGAAGAGAAGAGAAGAGAAGAGAGTTAGTCAGTTTGTGTATGGGGCTGTTTGTGTGGTGGGACTTGGTATGCCCTGATGAGGAAGCGGGGTTTGCTGGCTTGATGTGCAATCCTGATTTTGGTTATTTTTGTTTGTTTGTTTTGGGTTTTTTTGTTTGTTTTTTCAAGACAGGGTTTCTCTGTAGCTTTGGAGCCTGTGCTCGAACTAGCTCTTGTAGACCAGGCTGGCCTCGAACTCACAGAGATCTGCCTGCCTCTGCCTCTTGAGTGCTGGGATTAAAGGTATGCACTGCCACCACCTGGCAACAATCCTGAGAACCGTAATTCAAACCACCGTCATGATTATGCTTTGTTTTTGTTTGTTTGTTTGTCTTTGGTGGGTTACAGAAAAGTCTTATCTATTCAGTTATTCCCACTTTCCATCTTCCTGCTCCTTAGGTCACAGAGCAGGAATCCAGAATCC